TATATATTTAATATTATATATTATGTATCTACTATATTTGCATCACAATAATGTTTCTACTTCAGAAAAAATATATATTATATAATACGGTAGGTACCTACTATTGTACTATTGTACACATTTGTTCCATATACTAACCTATTTAGTATTTACCTACTAGGTAACTATATATTATTTTTCTGAAGAAATTAATTCAGAAACGGCTAACGGATATAAAACCTATATAAAGTCTAGCAGTGGCGTACCGACGGGTGGGGGGGGGGGGGTTAGGGGTTTAACCCCCCCAAGTAAAATACGAATAATGATTTTTTTTATGGAATATTATATTTAGACTAGGATCATTGTATATAAAATATGGTAACCCCCCCCCCATTAACGAATTCTGCGTAGGTACGCCACTGAAGTCTAGTCCTTGCTGCAGGTTTAGACAAACAATTTATTACATTATTAAGTACATTTTGTTTTCAACACTTCTATAACAGTCGATGGAGGATGGTCTGAATGGCAAAAATGGAGCCCCTGTTCTGCGGCATGTGACGCGGGCACCCGGTACAGGATACGAAGTTGTAGCCGACCGGAACCGGAAGGATCTGGACGACAATGCGAGGGAGAGACTGTACAGACCAATATTTGTAACGTCGGACCCTGCAAAGGTGTGAAAAAATTAACAACAATTATTAAGTATAATAATATTATCATAAAATCTAAGAAAGAAATATTGAGGGCCGTGGGGTGTCGGGCATGTACTGCAGTATAGGTAATGTATACAATTATTTTTTAGTATTCTTAATTTTATTTATAATGATTAATAGCTACTAAATCTATTATACTTACCTATTTCCTAAGCTTATATATAAAGTTATACATTTTTACGATACAGGACCGCCAATTATGGTGGCCACGTTTGACAAACATTCTCACATCAAGTATGCTGCTATGGAAAAAAGTACGACCCTGCTGCACGTCGTTGTACAATTTTATCCTTTCGACATGTCTGGTACGATACTTCGACGGTACGACGATGATTGCGAAGGTTATTGCAATAGCGTTCATCTGAATATTATCGATTCCCGTCTAAATTTAACGGTCATTTTGAACGAGTGTAGTGTTACATTGCAGAGTCCATTCACAATAAACGTGAGAAACAATCAATTAATCTATTTATTAAACTTATTATTCTATATGAAGAATGACCTGCGAAATTATAATAATTTATGATAATATGTTAAATATTAATCAGATGTGTTCACAATGTTCACATACTTGCGAGTAGGTAACCTAAAGGTATCGCTCGATCAACCACCATCATACTGCTATTTTAATCGCATATACTCGCATATGAAATATTTGAATTTTAAATGCCAATATAATAAATATTTTGCGTTGAAATAGGAATTTAATGGTTTTTGTCCGGTAATATTTGTATCTATAGTTTGGATGGAATGAAGTTTCCTTTTCGATCACCGAGATTAAAGTAACGCTACAGTTAAATAATCATCAAACTTCAAAATTCGTAAAATGTTTTGTACCGACTTTGACTGTGAATCTAGACCAAGTGACGAGCATCGGAGAAAATTTCGAAGGTTACATAAGAAAGTTTGATGTGAACTTTATACACTACGCATTAACCATAAACGATAAAGTATATAAGAATATCATATTACCGCAATACATTTCTTTACACAATTGTTAGGTAGGGCGATTGTAAACTTTCCCGTTGGTAATCCCTCCCGTAATCTACTTCAATACTACCTGACGGGTATCTACATGTAAATAGTAAATTCTCCCATGTCTGTAATAATCAATACAATCTGTATTTGTTTTAATTTGATATACATTTGAATTTCATGAAAAAAAGTAAATTTTTTAAAATATAGTAAATAACAAAAATAATAATAATTTAAATCAATTTCAAATTTAAATTAAAAAAAAAATTAAGGTGTCTATTTTTTGATCGGTATAGTAATTTTTAAACAACTCGGGAGATTTCAGTGTTTATATATTTTATTAAACACAATGTTGACCCGGAAGAGTTTACCACCGTCCGTGGTTAACCCAAGGGTAATACGTCCCCATATTTAGTTTTCAGATACCATGTATTTACCTTATGAAACTTTCAACACAGTCTTCGAATTATCGGAAGAAAAATTGTATTCAGATTTATTAAACACAATTAAAATCCCTTTCCCGCAATCAAGTAGCAATTGGAAGGTTTCTGAACGAAAATGTTCAATTTATACACAGTTGTTTTACATTATAAACCTAAAATTGTATTTCTTATATTTCAGTTGGAATTGTATGTGAGGTTTGAGATTTTAGCTTGCGGAAATTTTATTTCAATCCGAAGCACTACGATGGATTATATCATATCGGTAGAAATTAATAACGACGTACTCAAACTTAAGATAAAACTAGATGAATACTTTAACGAAGTATCAATAAAGTTCGAGGCCATTGATTCGTCTTGGATTCACTTAGAAATCGAGCAACACAATAATAGCTGGTGTATGAGCGTAAATGATAACAAGCGTTCACTGATAATGCCCACTGACTTAGTTGATGAGCTGTGCGAAAAGCATCTGTACATTGGTAATTTTTCGGTCAGTAAATACTAAATAGCCAACTAAATATCTTCTGATATAATGTAATACAAACAAGAACGTAGCACGACGATTTTTTTTTTGGTGGGAGGGGTATAAAATCGTATCATGTATATTGTATTGATATATTTAGATAGGTAATAGTTTAATAAAAAAATCTAATTTTTATACCCAGTTCTTGACTATTGGAAAAGAAATAGAGGATTCTGATGACACTTTTTATGATAGATAAAGAATAATGACGTATAATATAATTTAATTAAGTTAATTATTTTTAATACATTATTCAAAATACCTATCTTTGTCTAAATTTTACATTACTATCTAAGTATAACTTTATGGACCCAATTTCTGTCAACGGAATAATGAGCGACAAAATAGGAATACCCGAATACATAAGTAGTCCCGAACTATCTAGTAAATTTAAATAAATAAAATAATCATTATCTAATTCTATACATTAAATAACAAACAAAATTATGGATTTGCGACCGAACTAATTTTGAGATCTACGGTGGAAATTTTTTTGTTTATATACGGCGCTCTATTGGTTATAGGAGAAATAATTAGAATAAATTAGTATTTACTATTTGGTAATTGGTTGCCACTGGTTAATCGGGCGGATCAGGTGCAAGCATGCATCAAATAATATTTTCGCACATTGTCTACTTGATATGCTGTTGCACATTGTCTGCACCAGGGAGGCCGAGTTGCACCCAAAAAGAGTTGAACAATCTCCATTTTTTTTTAAAGTTGTAATTTTTTACAGGAAACGAAGTGCGCAGTGCGCGGGATCAGCTAGTATATTTTACAAATAAAGTATATTTATTTTTCGTCTAAAACTCTAAATTATAATTAATAATTATAACAAGAAATATGCAAGGGCTAAGTTGACACTAAAATAAATGCCCAACCTTTCAACGAAGTTTTTAGGGGGGGAGGGGGGTGCACATCCAAAACCTCCTTCAAATACTGCCCTCGTGTTTGAGTCCTGTAGTTGTATACAAAATATACCTATGTAGTTATGTACCTACAATAAAATATATTTTGTTAATAAAAATTTCAATGCTTCATAAATAATAATTTACTATAGTAAGCATTCGATCCAATTTCTAAATTTATACAGTGATTATTTTATAGCTAGGTAGTTGAATATCAATACATTCTTAAATTAATATTTTATTCTTATATTTTTCTATCTATGAGATAATTCCTTACTAGTGTTTGTTCTTTTTTTATTTTTTTTTATTTCCTAGCATAAGTATAGACAAATTTATAGACATTCCTAAGAAAAGTCTAAAATTGATTTTAGTAAAAATAAAATAATAAATTCATAAACGGCACTTGATTTATTTATTTTATTTTATTTTATTCACTTCACTTAATATAAAATTGTATTATTTTATTACTTAACAATTATTAAGGAAAATCAAAATTTGAAGCATCTTCAAGGAATCATCGGATACTTAAAACTGAATGATGATATTTTAAATCCTACTGACTTTATAATTAGTCCCTCCAACGAGTACGATGCCTTTTCGCGAAACTTGTCAGGTACCTTTATTTATCAAATATGTATGTACCATTATAATACATTCTATACTTCTACGTTCTATTGTATTTGTATAATAATTTAATCAGATATGCCGTACAATGAAGTAACAATGACTAGCGAAAATGATGTTATTGAATTAAATTGTATTTTCATCAGCGAACTTATGTATGAAGATTTAGACATTGTATGGGTAAAATCTAATCAACTCGGTTTACATAGAGTTGACTGTAACACGTAAATATAAATTAAATATATTATTTAGTATATTACTTGGTCATGTGCATTCTCGTAGCGGGAGGGGATACGGGCATAGGCGCAATTTCAACTTTTGGCTTGGGGAGGGGGCTGAATATATTAAAGGGAAGCAGACCATTGCAATATAGCATATAATAAAAATGTTATGTCTTAGGTATTTAGAGGGCTACGGCTGTTGGGGGGGGTTGCACCCCAAGCCCCCCAATTTGCGCCTATGGATACGGGCGATAAATCCGAACATGGCGCGGATTCAACATCGGCTTTTTTAGTGGTAAATTTCCACCCGCCCCCTCAATGACCCACTTTACAATTAATTTGTGTCCCCTAAAGCGCTCTAGGATTATAATATACCTACATATATAGGCATATAGCGAATTAGAGTATATTCAGGGGGCTATATTATCGTCTGCAATTATCATTGTTTGTCCCTTGACCCTTAGTCATATACTAGTATAATATGATCTAAGGTATGTGGTATGACCCATATTGTCATACTATAATATAGTATTTGCTACCACAATAAAAGATATTCATCTTTTATCATGCTGACAACAACTGAATGGCTTTTGTTAAAATTATAATATTATGTAGGTATTCAATGTATAATATAATAAGTTCAAAATAATTATACTTAATATAGGTACTATAATTTATATTCCGCCTCACTTTTGAAAAGATTTATTGGTAAATAGCCTTTACACTTCATTTGAAAACAAATTTATCTTGCTACATAAGAACTTAATATAATATATCCAATATATATTTACTTTTGTAAGGGCTGTTCTTATAATGTAATTTGTACGGTGTAAATTGTACCGGGTACACATTTTATTACCAGCAGAATTCCAATGGTTAAGTATCTATTAACTTTAACCAGACATTATGAGAACGGCCCTAAGTATATTATAATTAATTTTGGGTAAGCGACAGCCCATTTTACTAATTGTATTAATAACAATTAGTAACATATTATAATACTAAATTTTTATAAATGTTGATAACAGACAAAATATTTTTAGAATCAATACATTTTCAATATTCAAATTATAATATTACAGATCTCAAAATTGTGTTGTTACAACTAACAGCTATGTATCTCAAATAACAATATTTCCAAGGTATATACATGATGATTACTTTTACTTATGTATATCAATGAAAATACAAAAGATAATTTGTGTTTATGGTGTTACAACATTGAAGAATAACATTGATCCTGTTCATAATGTGATGAAAACATTTATAATACTCGGGAAAATAATTGCATCTATAACAATAATATTAATATTGTATCTTATATTTATGATAAAAAATAAAATAAAATAACTTTAATTACATTAATGTATTTGTTATTTAAACATAATCAAACAAGTAGCTTTTTAAATGTCTAATGTTTGTGGAACGCAAAGCTTGAATGAACAAATGTAAAATACAAAAACACAACAAACAGTGTTTGTAAAATAGCAATTATACTGCAAACTAACAGCCTAATGGCAGGTAATTTAATAGTTAGCAATATTATAAGACATGTTCTAAAAACGCTAGTACCGGTAAACAGTATCATGGCCAGATAAAATATTACATTATTTGTTTCATCCGATATAAAACTAATAACAAGAGTAAACACGTAACCATAAAGACCGTACCCTAACAATGACAATATTTGCAAAAAAGATATACTAGACTTTCCTAAACGTGTTAATATATAACAGATTGCTGGCATCGATAGGCAGTACACGGCCAACACTTCGGTGGGCGACCTGTGATAAATGGCCGATGGGGTTTTGTAGGCATGTCCATAGCCGAGTATCGTGGCCAACAGTATAAACGCCAAACACGGTCCCAAGAAGTCCACGTATACAAATCTAGAGCGCAGTGGCGGAGTGAATGATAGCAATATCCGTTTCGGCAGATCATCAGCAGGCATCGTGAAATACGATAAGGCGCGTGTAACTGAATCCTTGTCTTTCGAAGGCTCCGACCCCACAAATATTATCGAATGGTCTTTCATTGTACAACCACAGATTTTTTTCATATAACTTGTGGTACAACTTAATAGAAAAGGTAGATAGGTAATAAATAGTCTACAACAAATTGACGTATTCACTTTTTACCGTCAAGCTTGTCCTTGGTGTCTTTAAGCTTTTCGGTGATGTTTTTCAGCGTTTTTTCTAATTGTTCAGATTTCATATCTTCCGTCAATGATTTCGCACGAATTGCTTTATGAACAACGAACCGAGCAATTTTTTTCATAAAACTCGATTCCGCCAATTGATCTACCAATTTTTGGTGGTTCATGAAATATTGTAGAATTCTAAGTACCATTTTCAATCGGATTCGGATACGTAAGTACTAAATCGTTTCAAGCTAGAAAATAAAAACATAACTTTGAAAAAAATTTTAATTTCACAATTCACAGCAATCGGGCAATTTCGAGAAAAATGAAAATGTTGTTCTAATCAGTAATCTCATACGGTGAGTCAGCGTTACCAACCTCTTTTTCTTGTCGGCACCCGTGAGTCTAGAAAATAAAAAAATAAATGTCATCTGGTTTATTTGGTAAACACTGAATATTGTGATTCGGACATATTCCGGTGGCCAGCAGCAGACTATCAGCTATGATTGCCTATTCGTTTTCGCTTTTTCGGTATCAAAAATGCAAAACTCCAAAATCCGATAGCCTGCCATGTTGTAACTTTTACTTCTTTGTAGACTGTAATAAGAATAACTAGTAAATTACTTATTGTTTTGTTACTTCTTACTTGTTGTTAGTGTCCAGTGTTAATATTAACTATTTGATGGCCGTTGAAAATATTCTATTAATTAATAATATTGTATTGCCATAGTTAGGTCGCAATTATACGTACCTGCGTTTGAATTTAATTCACAGTTCACGAAGATACCACTAACTACTCGACATTATGGCTCTTGAGAAGTAAGTTTGATTTAAATCATTATTTTCTGTTTTCTTATAAAACTGTCCAGATAACAAATACCTATATTGAGTGAGATCTGTGTTTTGAATTGAATATTTGTCAACAAAATGGCGAATCGAACAAATAGAGCTTTGGAATATTACAATGATTATATCGACTGTACACAAAACTTACCATTGGACATACAGCGGCACGTAACGCAAATGCGTGAATGTGATTTGGAGTACCAAGAAATGATGTCAAAGATCAGAGAGTTGACAGACAATATGGACGGTTCTATGTCTACATTAAATTCTGAAAAATTGACAAAGCTATTAGTAACAGGTTTAAATCTAGGGGATAAAAAAGTGCAAACAGTTCAACATATATCTGATTTGGTAGATGATAAAGTCAGACGCTTGGAAAATGGTAGGAAATATTTGACCTCTTCTAAGGAACCTGATGCTCCCAAACCAAGTATCAAAGAAAAACCAGAGAGCAGTAATTGTTCCAAAGATCGATGCTTACCTAGCACTAGTACTAGTACTGTTTCTAAAGAACTCAAGAAACGCAACACTGATAATGATAGTAACGAATCTAACAATGATGCAAAACTTGCAAAACGGCCCAGACGCAACAGAGCCGATGAGCCAGATTACAAAGAAATTTCAGATGATGTGGTGGCATTGACAGCTTCACAACATTCCAACACACCTTTGCCAAGAGCCACAGCAACAGCTCAAGTACAATCTCAAGTCACATTGAAAAAAGCAACTCAAAAAACAGATGCAAAAACCAAAAAGAAGGGAAAATATAAGAAACAACAGAAGGACAATTCACCATCATTGGATGATGATGATGATATAGCTGTCGATCCAGATGAACCAACCTATTGTCTTTGTGATCAGATTTCATACGGAGAGATGATATGTTGCGATAATGATTTATGTCCAATAGAATGGTTTCATTTTTCATGTGTTTCATTATCGACAAAACCAAAAGGCAAATGGTTTTGCCCCAAGTGTCGTGGAGATCGTCCAAATATAATGAAGCCTAAAGCGCAGTTTCTCAAGGAACTTGAACGATACAATAAAGAAAAAGAGGATAAAGCTTAAGATTTTGTTTTTAACATAACCAACAATCTACTTAATTTAATTTGATGTTTATAAAAAATTATTAAACATTCAAATAATAAATTATCCCGTATTTAATATAAGTATTAGATTAGAATATACAAGCCAAATTAAAATTTTTTTTTTTTTTGTATATATTATTATTTAAACATTCAATGCATGCAAATTTATCAAACTTAAATTTAGGCATAGATAGATAATTTTATATTATTTGATAACATATTATATATATATCTTTATAACAGTAACAATATAGTAGTACTTTTATACTATATAATTATTTTTATTATTTTTATAAAATCATAGTAAACCTAAATTATTATTATACTATTAAATAGTAATAAGCTAATTAGTTTATATGTAAATTTTATTTTCTAGAAAAATAACATGTTATATCTAAGTGTCCTCAAATGTTTTATTGTTATTATATATATTATATATTTTTTTAATAACTCCTTTCTTACTACTCTATCTTATTATTGTCACAATAAATATTATTTCATTTTTAACTCCCTTGTTTTTAACTTCTTCTTATTAGAACAGAGTGCAGTTTCATATTGGATTTTGTTGAGCTTGCCCAATTGGCTGGCGTCAAAATTTCACCACATGTTGCGAGGTAGGTACTGATTTATTAGTAATTAACTTTACTGTTCTGTATACTATATTGTGAGGTATTATTTTTTGACTTCTTGAGGAAGTTTTTCTGCAAAATATATGGTCACCTCAATTTTTTGAGTATAACATAATATTTATTTATATTCAATTTTCCTCACTCTTATCAATCCTATGGTTTAAATGTGCTTATTGGCACAAAAGGACAAATCCTGTCTTCCTATAAATATGCTATTACTAACGGAAATTGTTTTTTTTTAAATATTTTTTTATGGTTTTGTTTACAGTGCAATGTTAGAACTATTAGACATGGGATATTCTCCATCAACCGTTAGAAAAGTGTGCCGTGAGATTGCCAAGTATAAAAGTCGACATGACAAAACTGGTACTACGATGAATAGTACCAGTTGACAATAAAACCAATATAGTTTGCTTATTTTTTTTTTTAACATTTAATGACAATTTTGTGAAAAAAAAATATTTAGGATAATATACAATTCATCACCATTTATAAATTGAAAATGTATTATGCTTAGTTTTTTTAATTTGTATAAAAATCTTCAAAATTTTATAGGAACCCCCCTGTCAAATATTACACGAACAATTTATATAAATATAAATATTTAAGTTTATAGAGTTAAATGTTATTACATTTTATGTTAAATAAAATAAAAAAAATTTAATAATTAAAATATAGATATTAATAAATAATTTTAATAAATAATAAAACCTATAATTGTAATTTTTGTTTCTTAATAAAACTACTGTGAATTAATAAAAAATAAAACTAATTGTTTTTTCATAACTCTTATAAATGTATATTAAATGAAAAACGTACAAAAAAAATTATTTAATTATTACAATAAAGTAGGTATCGTACTACTGTAGAACCTTGATATCCGACCTAATTTGGACCGCACCTAGTTCGGATACTGGGAATTTGGAGTTTACCAATTCCTCACAAAATTACTTTCATATATAATTTGAGCTCAGTAATTTTCTGGGTCGATATACCAATTGTGGGTCAATGCAAAGCGTACTTTTTCCATTTATGACAAAATCGAGTTAGCTATTGATTCTAATAGTAGAAATAATTAATAATGGCGGGAAATCGAATGGTGAGGTTGATTTTTGGATAACATTACTTATTCCCTATGAAATATTCGATCGAAAATCGCGTTTTTCTGCAAAACATTCCTTTTCTACGTATACGTACACAGATATTTGTCGTCTCCGTCAGATAAGTGCAAAACATCCTAGATCTACACTCAGCAGATCACTTTTGACTCAGTTAGTTTAAAAATTAGAGTGAATCGACCTATAATGAAACTTGATGGTAAGAACATCATCTGTGTTTGTTTGAGGGTTTTTTATGATACTTCAGTTTTTGAGTGACGTATGAGCATTTTTAATTTACGCTATATTATATAGTGCCATAGCCGTCCCAAGGGAGGGGCAAATGGGGCAAGTGCCCAAGGGCGTCTAAAGTATTATGAATTTAGGGGGTGTACTAGAAATGGATGATAAAAAGAAAAATTTGGTGTTCTGATTTTAGGTATTATTTTTTTGTTTATACTGTAATATCAAAGATGAGTATCTATCAAATTGTATACTATTAAGTAGGTATACAATTATGTAAATAATGTGTTAAATCTTAATGCGACATAACTTCAATAATAATATATTGAATATTCATAAAAACAAATAAAAATATTAATACTTATAATTTATAAGATTATTAAGATTACAATAGTAATTTATTTAAGCACATGAAATATATTTTAAATATGTATATACATCATTACAATAATTAAGTAATATACTGTATACTATATTGTAATATACTTATAAACTAAACTAATTCATATCTTTGGTACCTAGTAGTACCTTTTTTTATTTTTGTGTCTGTCATCACGTTTTAGGACAGTAAAAGTGCTTGGATTTTCTTCAACAGTATCTTTTCTGATAGGAAAGTGAATCTAGTTGGTACTTTGGGGGTGGGAGGGGGGTCAAAATTTCCCAGTAGTTTTCACAAGCACCGGGAAAAACAACATAAAAATTAAGGAAAAACGGGAATTTTTACGCAAAATCTGTTTTCCAAAAAATCGATTTTGATTTTTGGTGTAACTCTAAAAGAAATGAACGTATATACAAGAAATTTTCACTGGTTGTTTATATTTACATTTTGTATACACGATAACATTTTCAAAATATTTTGATTAATTTTGAACTGTTTAGGGACATTTTCATTTTCCATTTTTTTTAGTTTTTTTTTTAAATATCAATAAAATTGTATTTGTTGGTTAAAAAAGCTTGAAAATTAAATAGAGGGCTATTAGTATATTGTTTCAAAGGCAAATGAAAAATATTAAAAATCCTTAGTCACAATTATTTTTATAAGCATTTAATATTCAAAAATTGACAAAATATGAAAAAATCACGAAAATTAGCAAATTATTTTGAGTTAAGAATTTGTAAAAATTTTTCTTTTTAAATCTAAGATTTGAAAATGTAATACAAGATTCCTTATAAGATTATCTACCTTTATCAAAAAAAAAAATGTCTATAAGAAAGTCAAATTAAATTTTTATGAGCGTTCGAAATCCGTAATATTTAAGTATAAACGAACAATTTCAAAATGTTTTAACTTAATGGATTTTTTTAAATCAACTGAGAAAAGCTAAGTTATTTCAATTGTAAATTAAACTATTTAAGTTCATAAGTTGATTAGAAAATAAACTAACTAGTTAAGTTAAAAAGTTAAAAAAAAATTAACTTTTTAACTGAACTTTAACTTTTCAACTAGTTAATGCCCACCTTTGAATTTTATAATCACTTATATTCACTTGTGCAATTTACAATGTTGATTGTTATACTACACTGTTATTACACACGCAGAAACGCAGAATGTATGATTTATAATGAAATCTAGGTACTAATTTGTGAAAATAGTTATATATATTTTCTTTCTGTAATGTACGAGTGTTCCCAGAATAATGAAATCGGTGTTCAAATATAAACAAAATAAATATGATCCCAATAATAATATTTAAAAAAATAAGTAGGAACCTTTAATTAATAAGTATTAAACATATTTAAGGTATGTGGTTAATTATAAGCTAAATATGCGAAGTCGAGATTTTTTGGTGGGAGGGTGAGGGGCGTCAAATATTGTTGCCCTAGGGCGTTATTGGTGGTTAGAGCGGCACTGTATAGTGCTATATTACACACTTGTAAGACTAAGACAACAAATAGTTGTGTAGCGTCCTTTTTGAGGGCCCAACCAGGGTGAGCATCGTTTGAAATGACCGCGTTGGGCCATCCTGAATCCAGCCTTACGATCGAGGCTGAATATTGTCCTACCTCCGCCATCTCCCCTTGCGTAGGGTCATCACTCATGATGAGAACGTCAATGTTCCTCTGGGCGGCCGTTTGATCCAGGAGCTATTGGGCGGCCCAGCACCCGTTCAGATTAACTTGCAGGATGTCAATCATTACGGCGGTTATTTGAGCGCCAGGACTAGGCCTCACACCTGACCTTGCAGGCAGCTGTGCCGGGTCCGTGCGGCCCTGACTTGAGACCCGCTCGGTCACTGGCTACGCACTTTGATGACTATGCAGTCTTTCTCCTTGTGTTCTTTGGAGCCGCATCTCCGGCAAGATTCCTTCAGGTCTGGCCCCGAGAAGCTTCCTTGAGAATGACCGAAGCCATGACACTTGAGGCACCTGGTGGCCTCAGGGCGGTGGATTCTGAGCCTGCTGCTGGTCCATCCTACCGGGACGCAGGTTACGTCCATGGGCTTGGCTTCCCTGGGCACGCTCAGTATGGCAATATACCATTCTTTAACCTCCTCATGGAGGTAATCGTGATCTCGTTAGCTGCTGCCTGTATTGAGGCGTCCCTTTTGCTGGAGACCGTAAAGGCGCTTTTTACAGCGACCAATACTGCCTCCACGGTGGAGGTAGATTCTAGGTCGACCACCTCCATATCATCTTTAAATCCAGATGCTGCCACCAGGACGGAGGCATCGGATATCTTCTCTACTAGCGAATTTCGTATTACCTATAATATATTAATTCAACTGAAACAAAACGAAAAACATTAGAAAGATAGATGTGTGTTGGCCACAAACACAATATAATCAAAAGTACACAAACAAGTTATTCATATTTATTATAAATAATATATAGTACCTACCCTATGCTGCCTAGTTATTTTTTCTTATTAATGTTATTACTGTTTTAATTTTGCTCAAAATACATTTGTATAATATATTAATATAACATCAGTTTTTACTTTCGTTAATAATATTTAATTTATATTTTTCCGTTTACTGTTATAATTTTTATTTTATAAAAGTTTTCCTATATTCTTTTTAAGTTTTTTTTCGTTCGTAAAGTATATGTTCTTTTTATTTTCAACATAAAACAATATTACACTTTTTAGATTCATAGCCTCACGCACATCATCAATGAATGCAATTATTAAGGATTATATCTCTCAGGCCAAAGATCTGAAGACTGAAATATTTTTATGCACCTATAATTTTTCAACACACGTCAAACTTTATAGAAAAGTTATTAAGTCCAAGTGACGATAAGGAATTATTTTGATATAAATATTGGTCAGCGCATAAGTAAGCTAAACTATATAGATGCCTAAACCAAGTAAGATGATTTTATGTAGGTATTAAGTATTTTGTAAAATGTGTTTATTTAATATTGTCGTCCCCTCACCATTTCATCTCCACGCCAAACACATCACCCACTTTCACCGGCCGGCGTCACACACTTAAATAAACACTTTGTTCTTCCAGGACCGTAAAAACATTTATATGAATGAGTATCGCGACATTTAAAACAGCTTAAATGAAAAGGCCCAATAGAAATAGTGAGTGGTAGGTGACTTAGAAACAGGTAATACTTTGGTAATCTCTAAATAATAATAAATACATTATAATATAATATATATACCTAATAAAAATATGATAAATATAATAATAATAGTAATCATAATTTAGTTCAAGTTATAATATTAGGACAGTGTTGAATTTTAAATAAGGATCGGGGGATATCATCCTAATAATTTAAAACTACTATATTTTTACTTCTCTTGGACTTATATAATGTGTCAAATATAAATCCCTCGGTGCCAGCAGCCTACCTCGCCTTTCCAGACACTAAAATTCAACGCTATAGTAAGCCGAAAATGTGCGAATGCCGTGTTGCGACAAAATTAAAAATTTGAAATTAAAACAATAAAACCTATTCAACGATAAATTCGATATTTATTTATTTATATTAAAATATGTTTTATCGGTGTATAAAAAAAAAAAATTGTATACAAGACTACTGCAGTTTTCGCTGTGCCGGTCGATGTAGGTAAATTACAATATTATGGTAGTCGACCGGCGTTCGCATGTTTTATCTTGCGATGTGGATTAGGCCTACAGGGGACACCACAATAAAAAAAACGCGCCATGTGTAATACCTCATGATTTTAAACAACATAGATGTCTGATGATTTTTAACAACACAATGTCGTTTATTAAGCTAGTTGGTGTGGAAACTTGTACTACGCTGCAGTCATTCTATAGGTAAGTACATCGAGTACCTACCTGCATTGAAGTAATATAGATAACATAAATACCTACTAATAAGATGAAAAACCTGGTTAACATAAGACCGTGGTAGACTAAAGAAATATATTTTTGGAGCTATACAGATCACAGGTGGTTTAAGTGCAAATTTACGAAACCTCAGGGGCCACAGAAATGTTTGGACCTTTCCCTTCATGACAAAATAACATTTAAAAATTATTATTTTCTATACATCGTTGCGGCGCCAATTGTAAGAAAATTAGGTACTATGTAAAGAATTGAAAAAACAAATATTTTGTGATAAATGATTCCTATTATAATAGTATATTCAATAATCAATACACATAACAAATAATAAACTAGAAGACAATGTCAACGACCTCACATTCATAGGTAGTCTTTCATCCTGCTAAAGATAAAGACAAAATGTCGTTATCCTGTGTTCAAAGTTATTTCGTCAACCGATAATATAATAATATAATACACAAATAAGTAATAACTATACCGTCTATACCTATCTATAACCTGTTCTGTACAACACTAATGTGTTACTATATATAAACTAAAGATTATTATTTATTTCATAATATTATGTTATAAGTACCTACACGGCTACATATTTTATGTACATAAAACTAGTTTTATATTTTATATTTACCTATTCAAAAAGTTATCATATTTTTGTGTTATACGTCTGTAGCCCAATGTCCGGGTACCTTTTAAAAATAATATATATTTCATTTGTGGCCCCGTACTCGGCTTATAAAATATTAAAATGTAAACACATATTATTATAATATTATATTATATTATACGGAGCAGATATACAAAATGTGGCCCAATTATCGGTAGGCTGTCCATTAATAAATATCAGTGGCGGCGGCATATAGGACTATTTGAAGCAATTGCTTCAACACTGTATAGGAGCAGTGCCGCAACTAAGGTTATTAGGGCCGGGGTGCCAAACCAAATAATAGGGCCCCTTACTTTCCAAAATTTTACGAAATATTTTCATGAAAAATATATTTGTAAACGTTAAGTATCCATCACCATTTAAATTTCTTTTTAACTAAAAATATACAAATTTACACTAGATAAAAATGGTTGATATAGGTACGTTTAAAATTATAATAAAAAAATTAAATATTTATGTTTTTCATATGTTTACATACTATACATAATACATATATTTGCTTATTTACACTATTATACAAAATAGTAAATACATTTGAAATTATAAAAAAAATTACATATTTATAATATTAAAATTACTTTAAAAAAATTTTTTTTCTGCTTTTTTGATTGGTAAATTAATTTTTCTACATCAAGTTCTTCAGTGCGAGCTCTTTCTATATTTAAGATACTTATGTTGGTTAATTGGTCTTGAGATATCGAGTTTCTTAAATAGTTTTTAATCAATTTAAGTTTAGAAAATGATCGTTCGGCCGTAGCAACAATCACTGGTAAACTTAAAAATATAATACAAGATGTAACAACTTCACTATACAAAGATGATAGGTCGTTTTCTATTAAATATGAACATAATTCTTTAATTGTTTTCATATCAGTGTTTTTGATAAACTCCTTTAAAGATAGAACTTGACTAGTTAAATCGGAAGTTACGTCAGTTTTGTAAAACTGAATAAAATCATAGCATGATTTTACTATTTCTGCTTCATTTAATTTTATTTTATTTGGTGGCAATAAAAAATTAAAAGTATTTGATACTATTTTAAGTCCTTTAAAACGATCTTCGAGTTGATATAAAGCAGTATCAACTAATGGTAAAAATACTGAAACATACAATTTTTCTCTGTAATATCCAATCTCCTGTCACCATCAACTTCACCAAATAGTTTTTTAGAATAAATTTTTCGTTTATTTTCATTCTGAAATTGTATTCCCAATTTTAAACACATATTTTTTGCTGATTCTACCAGTTCTTTATAATTATATCTCATATTTTTAATTGAGTTAATACTAATTTGCAAAAACTCACTGGCTTGATGGATACTGGTTTGTGAGCACTGTAACATCTTGGATACCACAGATAATGGTTTCAAAACATTTTCCCAAATAATTATAAGCAAAACAAACTCAAAAGATTGCATTTTTTTTAAAAGAGATTTTGCTCTATTTAGTTCATCACTTTTTTTGCTGGTTAGTGAATATTTGTCAAAGATTTCAATACATTAATACAATTTTCTTTTAATGCATATACAGATGAATGTCTAGCTTATATTAGAACGATATATTATATATGTATAGTTTTCAAAAGCGACTATATTTCCTAATCGATATTCGATAGTCAACGGTACTGCGGTGTCGCGGTGGTTTATTAAAAAAAATAAAAATAAATTATTACTGATTCTGCTTTAACTGGTAACATGTTTGTTTCAACAGAACATATAATATATATTTTATTCATAGACACCCTTTATTATCTATATTAGTTTCTAATTTTCTATGTAATAATTCTAAGTATTTTTCAATTATCGAGGGCCCCTTCGGGGCCCTCTAAATTCTCTACTGGGGGTGCATTGCACCCCCTGCACCCCCGGTAGTTGCGGCACTGTATAGGAGATAACTTATCTTCTATACCGTAGCTTCATGTCTGAAATGAGTGGGTGGGTGTATAAATCTAGACACGCGGTAGCGTGTCAAGCCAAGTTCTAGCTAACAGAACTGGCGAGCAGCACCGTGTGTAATATTACACGAACCATTTGGAGCCACTTTTGACCCCCTCATAACTCAAAAACTATTCCACATAAACATGTCAAATTTGGCTCATATATTGAGACTAACGAGATACATATGTGCTCTAAATTTCATAAACACACTTCAAACCGTTATTTAGATATTAACGTCCGAAAATCGTCATTTTTATCACTGACTTACCTATAGATCAAAATTCTAACCCAGTTCCAGAAGACCTAGAAAGTTCAAATTTGGCATACAGATAGGTAGTTAGGTAAATACAAAGGAAAAAAATCAGAAACTTGAACATTTTTAATTTAAAATTTTTTAATTTTTAATTTTTAATTTTTTAATCAATTGATTTTATTATAATTTTGCAATTATTTTATCTATTATGTTTAATTTTTCAATTTATTAATGAATTGCCTCTAATTTAATGTAATGTTGACTTAAATTACTTTTCCCGTATCGCCGCTCCAAAAATACGACTAGCCGAATATGTGTCGATATTGTCGACCCGCGCGCAGCAACATACTTTTTTTTCTATCTATAATCTATGTACCTATGTAATTAATATTATTTTTTTAAATATTACAATTAAAATAATTAAATAATTATTCTTACAAATTATGAATTACCCACCCAACAGTAGAAACTACAGTCAATAAAATTATGATAATTAAAAATATACTCAAAAAGAGTTAAAATAATTGTATATTAATTTTACATATATTTTATACTCTGTATATACAACGGAAAATATTATTATTAATATTAGTAACTGAATTATATTATATAGTAATAAACTTTATTTATAGAATACGTCATGGCTAGGTTAGGTTAGGTTATAATAATTTACATACAAAAAGTAATGATATCCCACCAAAAACATATATGTAAAATGAGAGCCAAGTTCAATACTATAATATATGCCTTGGTTGTTGACTTCAACGACAAAAGAAGTGAGATCTAAATGGGTGCCAAGTTAGGATAATATATTGAAGCCTAAAGTCTTACTTGGCTACGAATTATATATTATAGCATTTACAAGTTCTAAAGCTTTGAGTTCTTATTTTATTCTTCGGAAAATCATCTTCACTCTTCCATTACTGTTTTAGTAGGTTCTTATAATAATAATTCGTATATGAAAAGTAGCCAAGTTACACCTTAGGCTTCAATATATTATCCTAACTTGGCACCCATTTAGATCTCACTTCTTTTGTCGTTGAAGTCAACAACCAAGGCATATATTATAGTATTGAACTTGGCTCTCATTTTACATATATGTTTTTGGTGGGATATAATATACAGTGGAACCTCGATTATCCGGGGTAATGGTGGGGAGGGGGTCACACGGATAAATGAAAACCACGGTTAATCGAGACTTTTTATAATAATGACATTTTTTATTTAACTATAATTAGAAATACACAGGTACAATGTTATTCGTTAGTAGCATTAGTGTATATTACGTCTTTCGTCGCACCGCGATCTTTTTGACCGCGTTATAATTTATAAGAATATAATTGTGATATCTCTGTAATATGGGTCCTTTTCGAAATTATTTGATTAAATATTATGATATTTTTATTATTGACTGTTGATGTTATTATCGTGATTATAAAGTAAACGAAAACATTATTACCACTAGGGATGGCAAAAAATGGCAAAATATGGATATATCGAAAAAACAAAATTAAAATAATAATTAATTTAAAAAAATAATAAAATTAAGGCAAATCGTCCAAAAGTGGGTTGAATTTAGTTCAATTTGTGATTGATGTAGCAACGCATATGGGCCACGATCGTGACAAACTTAGCCACCTAGGACTTTGGAGAGATTTAAAACTATATTGTGCGGCGATGGAAATCACGACAATCAGGCACGGATGGCGTTACAGGTAACTGCGATCGTGGACGACAATTTCGGTGATTGTTTAATCATTATTGTAGTCCTCGTACCAATTTCGAATTCACGTGTCACGTGAAATACGTGTTTATTCAAAATATATATCCGTGTCACAGATACAACGATACAAGGGTGCAAAAAAACACTTGTTCCATTGAGACCCCTAATATCTACAGTCCATATTTATTTTTAAATTTTCGGAAGAGTGAGCACGGTTAATCGCGAACACGGATAATCGAGTCACGGATAATCGAGGTTCTACTGTATATAAAAATAATCGGAAGACTTATTAATCTTCCGACTCAAAAAAGTTTCCTATTATTTTACATTACAATTTATATTAGTATTTTATATGCATGTTACACATAAATATTGAATACAGCTTTATTTAGATACCTGATGTGGTTCGGTGGTTGGCCGCAGTGATTAATGTATGCCGCAGTCCAAGCATCGTCCGGCGCGGGGTCACTAACACCTGGATGGGTGATTCTAGCGACAAATCCTAGCCCTACATACACACGTGTTCCTCAACCAACCAACATTATTTACTGGAGATATCTGGTGCCTGATGGAATATAATATTGGAGAGTCGTCAAGGTCGAAGTGTACAATAGTGGAACGCTTGGATTTTATTTGTATTAGATTTTCTCGCCATGATTCCATGCCCCAAAGCTGTAGCCTTTAATGGGGTACGAAACTCCGTGCGTTGGCCGAACCAGGCGATTGCGGCCATGAACACGGTCTTCAGGAGGGCGTGGAATACGTGAAAACCCCGCGTCCCGTATCCCGCCATAGTCTTGGAACCAATTCTTAATATACGGGTCTAACATCATGTTGGTGCGGGAACCAATTCTTAATATACGGGTCTAACATCATGTTGGTGCGGGAACCAATTCCATGTTTTTCTTAGGTTCAGACTTCAGATCATAGGGAACCAATACCCCAATCAGCTGATTGAGTTTCGCTTCTATATTGTTCTTCTCTTCGTCGTCATTCACTTAGATCAGGAACAAGAAAATAATGTTAATATTAATAGACTCGCTGGCAAAATCTGACCTTATTAGCTATAAGTTTTAGAACTAATATTTACTTTTGAAATTATATATACTAATAAATTGCGCACGCCAAAATTTTTAGAAAAATTAAGTAGTAAGTATGTAGTCACATGTAAGCCATGGTTGTGTTCGAATAAATGGAATGGACAGACAAAGAAATAATATTATGTCGATCTTCAATGACTATGTAATGATTTTACAGCTAACAACGTCTTAGCTCTCACCAACTTAGCCACACCCCGTTGTCTGCATATCAAGTCTAATAAACTTGTCAATTCGAAAGCGATCGTTATTATATATTATTGGCTGAATCCAATTACACGGTCAACATTTTATACCGGCAACTATTTATAGTTGCCTGTAGCATAAATGGAATCTTTTTCCCATTTGAACTAAAGACAAGACACCGTTAGATCTGCTTTTGCATTACCTTCACGGTTTTAGATATAACTCTAACGGATTCCTAGGGTTGTATATAAACACTAAACCACGTATATTATTTAATAATGCTGCACAAAAACAATGAACTGTGTTGTAGCTGAATTGCGTATCCAAATAGCCGTGTTATCATAAATTTGTATTTAAAAAAATGTTGTAAAACTATTAATATAATATTATGATTTATGATTTCCCGGAAAATGATCCTAATGGAAAAACTAAATAACAGTAACGTCTTAACCGTGCTGCGTGTGCTGAGTGTTTTTGCTATTTTAGAAAACAAAAAAAGTTTTAGAAAAAATTATACAATTGGAAGACATTAAAGAGCTCAAACTAAAATTTCCAGGATATTAAACAGAAAAAACTATTCAAAATAAATAGCTCATAAAAGAAAAACTAAACATAGGGCACCTGTGGGATATAAATGATCAAGTCTTTATAAAAAATTCAACAAGAGTTAAATTCATAAGAAAAAATTGAAGGGGAGTGTTGGCGCCCGCAGGCGAGTGCATTGTAAAAAAACAAAAAAAATTTAGAAAAAACCATACAATAGGAACACAAATTGAAGGGCTTAAACTACAATCTTCAGATTCATAAACAGAAAAAACAATTGACAATGATTAGCTCATTAAAGAATGATAATACAGAGGGCATCTGCAGGTTATCAATATTCAGGTCTGCAAAAAAAAATTCAACTAGAGTCAAATTGCTAAAAAAATATGAAGGGGAGTGTTGGCGCCAACGCAAATTTTTCAATTTTTATTTTCGGAAACATAGTTAAATCAACTTTTTAGAATGATTGAACAAAAATAATTCTGACACCCACCCATGGTGGTTTTACATAACAAGTCGATGGATGTTTTTGATGATAATTGACTGAGCGATCGCAGCCAGGTGTCGCGGTCGTTATCGCAACGGCCGCGGTGTCTCTATCGACGTCCGCGAGATCGCGACCGACAACCGGTCTGGCCGCCGCCTGCGGCACGGCCGCCGGCCCGGCCAGCGGCGGTGG